CATAGGCACAGGAGCATAAACTACATGTTAATTCTGCAGCTATTACCAACATGAGAGTCTGCCAGTGATTCAGTGATTTAAGCTACAGGTGATTGTGTAGGTGGCAGAGTAAGTCTGCAGTGGATACAGGCCACGGGGGATATGCTGCCTCAAGAAGTGAGGGTCAAATGATAATCACTAATAAGGGTCAACTTTCTGGAGGCAGCAATGACAGTGCCAGAGGTGTGAGCCATGGCAGGATGCATTGCCAGGCCACATGGCATGACTGCCATTGATAACGAGAACCTCTAGCAGTGGCAGCAGCGGCATCAGGTGTTGGACTAAAATACATACATCCAGTGATGGTGGGGTGCAGACAGTGGTCTCAGAAGTGCTCAGCAGAAAAGTAGAGAGTTTCAACTCCTAGAAGAGAAGCACTTTGGCTTTAGGGTCTTGAAGGCAGTAACCTCCTCTATGGTGGACCACCCTTTCCCTACAATACAGTACACTGAATGTGCTTGGGTGCTGGTATCACATCTATACAGCCTGGTTTAGTTGGGTTCATAAATCTGCAGCATTTTGTGCAATTGTTGTAAAATATTTGTGGGGACCAACGGATGAGATAGGCAGAGGATTCTATCTCTGAGAGCAGTGTGAATTACACAGCTCTTTCTCCAGATGGCACCAAGCTGCAGTGGCTTGAGCTCTGAGGATCTGGAGGAAGACAAAGGGAGTTTGGTTTCTTCAACACTAGATTCTGTGCTGATGTGAAAAGCTTCTTAATGGGCAGCAAGTCTGTGATAATGTGTAACTCTCCTGTATCCAAGATTCCTGGAATCTATAATTGGGATCTGCTGGACTCGTTTATCTTATCTCCTGCAATGGGGAGGCCACAGGCCAAGGAGCCAGGGGCACAGTTGTTGTATATGCTTTGCTATCTTTGTAATGTTGTCCCAAATGTCTATACTTAACAGGGCTTCCATACCTTGCAGAATTCCAGTGTTCTCTTTCAGTCACTCATTTCTAAAGGAAGTTGGATACTTATTCTTTATTATTTTTCTTTGTGGAAGAGGCCAATGTTGGCAACTCCTCTTTCTATCATTTTGAAACGTTAGAGTATTTGTAATAATGTAATTACTGATATGGTTAGGCTTAAGAATATTTTGCTTTTTTTTTCTGTCTATCCCATTTGACTTTTTAAAAACTTACTGTTGAATCAAGTTGATGATTCTGTTTGGTCTCATTAACATTCTTCCCCTGTCCCCCCAAAACTCATGTACTTCCCTTTATGCAAGAGGCAGTTATTCCATCTCTAAAAGTTGCCAAAGTCCTAATTTCAGCCTTGCCCAAAGTCCAAGTTTCCTCTGAGATTTAAGGCAAATTGTTTGTTGCAAGCTCTTGTACAAATGAAAATATGTCAGATAACTTCCAACATACAGTGTCATGAGGTAGACATTTCCATTCCACAAATAGAAAGTATTAGGAACAAAGCAAGGTAAAACTCCAACAGGACAGTCACTAAGTGTTGTAATTCTTTGTCCAGCATCTGAGGCAGACTGTGGCAACATACGAACTCCAAAGGGCTTGGGTGATTACACTGTTATGGCACTGCAGTTGGTTGCAGCTCTTTTGGCTTCTTTTCTGAACTTACGTTGCTTACTCTTTGCAGGTTTTCTTAGATGATTCATGTTCTGAGCTTCTCCAAAATTCTAGGTTCTCTAGTACACCTTTAGCTTCACATTCAGAGTGTCACAAACTGCTCTTTTACGAGCATGCTGCTTGGCATTCCAGGCCTCCTCCTCCTCCTTCTTCTTTTTTTGCACTCATTATTTATTTTAAACATATACTAATTTTAAAAAAGAAAATAAGGGTACCGATTGGGAAGGAAGAAATAAAACTGGCAGTCTCAAGTGCTGATAAAAGGAGAGTTTAGAGTGATGCATATTTATAAGTATTAACAATTTTTAAAAACTTTTTCAGTTTTCTTTTAAAGGAGGTAAAATTAAACACTACAAAACAGAACAAAATAGGATGTAAGAAAGCAATGTAAGAGATATAAATTTCAAAGCTAGATAGTCTGAGATCTTTACTATCTATCATATTGTCTTTTCTTCCAAATAGTTGTCCATATCTTCACATAAGAGAATTCATATAAAACAACATAGTATAAAACTGATCCAAACAGAATGAGGAAGGTGATGTAGGTCTTCAAAACCAGACAATAGGGAAGTCACTAATGGCTGTCATAGAGTCTCTCATTCTCTTCCAAACAGCTGTCCATACTTTCATGTATATTGAAGTTCAACAAAATGAAACAGGCATGTGGGTAGAGGTTGCTTGGTTTCCCAGCGCTCCAGGTCCCAGCATGGTACAGGTCCCAGTAAATGCCGGTGACTCCAGTCCTAGGCCGCCATAGCCTGCCATACTCATAGCCGCTCACTGTGGGGGAGGGGTTGCTTAGTTTCCTGGCACTCCAGGCCCCAGCATTCCAGGCCTTCTTCTGGATCCAGGCAGAAGCCTTCCTAACCCCACAACTCTTGCATTCTGCATGCACCTAACACCAACACCACTTGGAAGATGCTAAAGTCTGCTACCAGCTGAAGCAGTAGTCAGGCTTTCTTTTTTCTTGGTTGTAACGTTCAAGTGCTTATGAACCAAATCCTGAAGAACCAAATACCTAGGCCACTGCCATTCTGAAACATGGTGCTCTGAGGCTCTCTTCTCAAATCAAATTCTATCACCTTTGCAACTTTGAGGCTGCACATGCTTTAGTTCTGCTGCTTCTCATGATATCCTCAGTCCATTTTTTCTGTTCTCAGCAATCAAGGTCTCCTCTGCTCTATCTTTGAAGTTCTGGCTTTGCTGGTACTTGCTTTCCGGCCAAACTCAACACATTTAAAATCATTTTGCTGGGATCTTTGCTTATGATTTTCAACATAGATCTGGCTAAAAGCTCCCAACAGAAGCCATGCCACCCCTCAACATCAGGACTGCTTTGAGATATCTTCAACAAAATTAAATGGTCCAACACCCTTAATCTCAGTCTCAGGCAAAGTCTCCGAACACAAGCAAAATGTAGACAATCTTTCTGCCTAGGCATAATACGCATGCTCTGGAGACCAACAGTCAACGCAGTCCTTCTTTCCAGAATAAACCTTTTGGGCTTGGTCTTTACTGGTGGCATTTCTACCAGCATTCTGGTCTTCTGAGCTCTGAGGAGACTCTTCCATCAAATATAGTTCAAGGCTTTTTCTCAGGAAGAACCTTAGACATTTCTAATTTTTCCCCCTAAAAGTAAAGAGCTCTTTTTACCTGAATGAATCCTAAGTGACAATTATGAGAAACAGTAAAAATTTGATTCTATAGTCAAGCAGCTTGTATTGAGATTCCAGTGACGTGACTTGCCAACTTCTTAGCATTTGGCAAGCCAGTTAGATTCTCCACACCCCAGTTTTTTCACCAATATGACAATCATAATACTATCTACATTTTAGGTGCTTTTAGAAAATCTAGGTAAATTGCTTATTATAATGCTGGGCCCATATTTCATCATGGAAAAGTAGCTTGCACTGTAAATAGCTGCCTCTCTAGATTTCATTTTGCTTTTAGAAAAGAAGTAGATTAAGTCCCAGATGCGTTTTTAGACTGTGATAACCCACCTCCAGGGAAGATATTTGTTGTTGATTGATGTGCACTGTCATTGTTCTAAGGAGAGTCACGCAGGATCAAATCATTACTATATATTTCCCTCTTAACATGGGAGTTTATTTCTGGAGGATGGGGCCTACAGGTGTCAGTTCTTTTTCATAGGAATTAAGTCTGGTTGTTTACTATGGGAAATGATTTGTGTTCTCTAAATCCAATAAGATCAAAATGGTTTTTTTTCCTGCTGAAATGTATTTTTTAAAAAAAGAAACACAAAATTTTCTTTTGATTCTCAGAAGTCAGCTGTATGAGCAGGCATGATCAATGTATTTTTATCAATATAGATTTCATGTTGAACATATACATTTTATCAATATTTTTTTACCACTCACAAAAACAAAATAAAACAAAAGACAAAAGTAGGGATGTAAAACTGAAAGCAGGTTCATGGGATAGTACAGAAAGACTTCAGGATTTCTGTGATGATGGAAAGCTGCAGATAGAGGCTGATGGCTGATAACGTAGGCCTCAAGGCTAGACTTGTGTTATAAAATTATCAACTTGTCATTTTTTCACTCTTCAGAGTACATGCTGTGTGTTAAACTTTTTTGGTGAACAAATTTTCATTGAATGTTTTTAACTGCTAGGCAAAGCACTGGGAAGACATAAAATTAGGATGAGATTTGCTACCTCTAGTACCACACCTTTTTATAAAAGAGACAATCACAGACAAAGTGAAATAGATCATTACAATACATTGATTTGAATATCTCATGGTCCTATGGAGGTCACTTAATGAGCATCCGAGAAACTATCAGAGGAGCAAAGATAAGTTGAAATTAGGTGAAAAGAAAGAAAATAAGGTACAGTATAGAAAAATAAATATATGCATGCATGACATGCAGTCCAGTATTGTTGGAATGGATTTCTTGTGGCATCATAACTAAAGAAAAAAGATAATTTATAATGATGGCTCCATTGAATAATTTAGAATTCTGTGCAAATTTTAAGGTTCTCAATCTACTTGTCTATACCTTATAAGGTAGCACTCGAAGTAAAGAAGTAGGTGTGGAAGAAACCATGGGCCCCAAGTTAAATATTATGATCTCACTACCTATACCTACTTCTAGTGACTTTTCATGTTGCTGTTACTGACTTTAAAGAGTTCAGAATAAGTGCAATTCTGGACAAACGTCTTTCAAGACCACAGCTTCCTCAACTATGACCTCACATGGAAGGTGGAGATGGTTGTTGCCCAAGATTTGCGATATCTGAAATCTTAGAATGAATCTGCTTCCTAGGAGAGAATGTTCTAACATTAAGCTCCTTATCTACACAAACCACTCACCACCAGCATTACTTTGTTCATTTTGCAGGAGGAACTTCTGCCATGGGGATGCCTAGGTGAGGTCTCTGTTTCTTGTGCTATCAACATTTTATGACCTAGGTATCACACAAAACAAGAACATGGAATTACGTACATTTAAAAATATTCTAACTGATTATCAACATTTTAATATTCTTATAAAATCCCAATATGATTAGAAACACTTTAACTTTGACAAAGAGTGTGTGTTATTCACATTCATGTACTCGCTTCCTCTTGTCCTGTAGCGCAGAAGTGACCACTGAAATCTTCAAGACATTGTCTATTTTAGGGCTACCATCTATTCATTCCCTGTTTCTCATTGCTTCACTGCTATAACATATACGTTGGAAAGGATGATCAATTACTAACATTGTTGAATTCACAATATTAACTACACAAATAAATGGAATTAGAAAAATGATAAGGAGCCCCCTATGATGTTTTACAGGAAAAGTAGAGTACTGAAATATGAGGTAGAAAATTAAAGGAGCTGTTCTTGGTGATACACATCTGTAATTCCAGCACTCAGGAAGCTGAGGAAAGAGGATTGCTGTGATTTCGAGGCCAGACTAAGTTACGATTGTGAGTTCAAGGCCAGCCTGAATGGCATAGTGAAAACCTGTCTCAAAAAAAAAAAAAAATTGAGAGAGACTTTTTAAGAAAAGACAAAGAAGTTCTGTGGGAATACAGAGATCCTTGTATATCAGTGTCAAAACATTTACATCTTTAAAAGTAATTTTAGGGGCTGGGAGTTAGCTCAGTGGCTCAAGCACTTGCCCAGTAAGCACAAGGTTATGGGTTTGATCCCCAGTACCAACAACAACAACAAAAATTTTTAAAAATTAGCCAAGCATGAGTCTTTACCCTATCAGAGGAACCTGACTCTGTGGGCTTTTGCCCTTTGATATTGCCCCTGATGTGCCTCATGGTGTTTCTTAGCTTCCATCTTGTGCTATATTATTTCTGATATTTTCACAAAAAAGTCATAGAGATGTAGCCATGATATTTTTGTTAATAATCTAGGCTCTGTGCCTTTCTGTGACTTTGTGTAACTTTTTATCTATTGCCTCTTCTTCTTCTGTCACAGTTATAATCCGTGTGTGCATCAGGAACCTTCCTCATCCAGACCCCCCCCAAGCAACCCTGAGGAGCCCATCTGCTCTGAGCCACTGGCCGTCCTGGACCTGCAGCCAGTGTACAGCAATGGTGAGGCCTCCCTAAGGGATAGAGAAATTCAGGATTGAGCCTGGGGGAGGAAGGAATTAAACAATACTATAGGATCCTTTGATTTCAATTTTAAAAATAAATTCCTAGTATTATATTGGGAATAAAAGTGGTTATGAACTTAGTGTCTGGGAAGTGAATTAGTCTATTCTCATTGCTATAATAGAATACTTGAGGCTAGATACTAAACAAACAGCTTTATTTAGTTCAGAGTTCTGAAGGTTCAGGACATGGCATCAGCTCTGATGAAGAACTCATGGAAGATGGCATCGCAAAAGCAGGAATGCAGGTGGGAAGAAGAGACTGCATGGTGAGGCAGGGAGCTGGTAGTGACCTCCCACTAGGTTCTTCTTTGTAAAGGTCCTATCATGTCTTAACATCACCACGCCATCATCACATCACTGTATCCTGAGGAACAAATCAAGACCTTGCAGAGGGAGAGTCCAGGATGAAGGCTCTTAATTAGAGACAATCATAGTATTTTCTGTTTTCTTGCAGTAAATCCTGAAAATACCAACTTGATTTATTCCCAGATCCAGAATATCCAGCATACAAATGGAAACCTAGGTGAGATAAGTTTCAGACCAGAAGAAATGGGGTGACCATTGTGATCAGTTTCAAGGGGTCTTTAATCAAAGAGATGTCTCAAAATGAGCTCAACATGGAAAGTATTTCCTCCTCTGCCTGCAATGGCAATCATATAATTCCTTTTTACCTGTCTGTGCTGTCACTACTGCAGTAGCAGACAGAATAGATACCGTGAATTTTTTCATGTGTGTATTCATAGTTTCCAGCTCAGTCATAGATGATTTTAACAGTTTTGTTTGCTATTCCCATCCAACAGCAAATTCACCAAGGGTGCATCGGGAAGATACGGTGAGTCACATATCTTATTTTTCTGTTCACTGTGCTCTTTGTCACCTATATTTGGGTGCTTATTGTCTGTGAATTTTTTCCAGGGACCTGTAGTCATTTATTCAGAGTTGAAGAAGTCACATGGAAATGATTTTGCAAAGCATACTAGCAAGAGAGAGAGTATCCATGAAGATGCTACAGGAAATTATGAAAATGTCTGAGGCACCTGCAGCCTCAGCCTCTTAGCTCCTTCTCCAGAGTGGTCCATAGAGACTGTGGAAGCAGTTGTGCTCTTCTCCCCTTCCGTTATCACATACCAGCCTTCTCATCCAGATTCTGCTTCCAAGGACAGTGCAATACTATGGATGCGAGATTGTGCCAAAAGTCTGCCTACTCTCCCGTGTCTGGGGCTGTATATACTATATGAACAGAATATGCAGCATCTAAGCAAGTACTGCATTCTTGCTACAAGAATGGGTTCTATTCCAGGGTCATGAAGTACAGAAGCTGGTCTAGCCTTGGTTACAAGGGCTTTGCCTGTGCAATTACAAAGATTACACAAATAATTCTAGGTATCATCATTGCCATTTTATAAAAGAGACAGAGGCCTATAGGGTGGCCTTATCCAAGGTAATAAGCAAATAAAGGCAGGATTCAAACCTAGATTTGATCAGTTCTGATCTATGCTCTCAACTGTCTCAGTACTCTGCTTTTTCTCTAAAGGATGATACTAGAATTCAAAAGAACCAAACAATACTATGGAAAGGAAATTATATGCAGTTTACTAACCAGCTGACTTAAGCATGTATAACTGATATTTAAGATGGTCTGTAATGAGCTTCTAATTCATCTCACTAAACAGTGTTAAGGTTCTCTTCTTTCATTGTCTTGGTTTTGCTTCGTTGATCTTTTATTTTTTCCCTCAATGATCATTCTGTATGCAATTTGCATCAAAAAGCTTCTTCCTGTCTGTGAGGATTTTAACATTATTTGCATAAGTCTCTCAGTCACTGTTGAAATTGCTCAAACTGTGGAATCCGTTATCAAATCTGTTTCTAAGGAGGTTTGCTTTCCAGCAATGCCAAATGTTACATGAAGTAATATTTGTCTCTATCTGTCTTAGTTTCTTTTCTTGTTGCTGAAACAAAATACCGAGCACCCAAAATTAAAGGAGGAAAGTTTTATTTGGCTCACACTTTGTAGAGGTTATAGCTCATAGTCGGCTGGCTCCAAGGCAGGATGGTATGGGAGAGGGACATTGCAGAGGAAAAATAGTCTACATCAAGCAGACAGGCAACAAGAGCACATTAGCCCTCTCTTGTGTCCTTTATATTTCATGCAGTTTACCTTCCCTAGGGCAGATGTAGCACTCACATCATTTATCTTAGCCAGAACTGTGCCAAACCAATCGTTAATAATCACACAGCCTTGATTCTAGTACCATAGGTTGCAAATTCAGTGGCTTGGAGCACCTCCCATCAGTGTATGTGGCTTTGAGGGGACATCTAAACACCAGCCATAACACTGTCTACTTATATGCTAATTCTTAATGAAAAATGCACAATTATTTTTAAAATAATTCATTCTATTTGATGAATAGTGAGTTATTAGATAGAGTTAGAATGTAAACAGATGACATCCTCAATTAGACAGAAGCTGTATTCTTCAAGATACTTCCTTTGTCACATGATAAAACATTTCTCCTGTCTGTAACAGCTTAGTTTTACTGCTTGACTTGAATACTCATTGTGTGGATCTTCTTGAAACATCAGCACAAACCAGTAAATTGAATGATTCATATGACTTAGGTGGCAAAACTCATGTTCACTCAGCAGCCCTTGTTACCTGAGCTGACAGTGGATGTAGAGACACAAAGCATCAACCAGGAAGCCCTCAGGAGGATATCACCCTCATCGCTCAAACATTTCTTATCTATCCCCAATTAACTAACAAACATTGGGAGTCTATCACTGAAAGAAAAGAAAAAAAAAGGTGTCTCATTGGGCTTAAATTTTAGGAAAACTAGTAGGATTATTTTCATTTACATTTTTTTCCAAGTTGGGAAAAGAATCATTGAAATTGTTAGTGTCGATCGATCACCTGGTATTACACAAAACCTTTTATCACTTTGAAAATATTAGGCCTTAAGAAAAGAAGCCAGTTAGTTCACTTATGTACATTGGCTGGTATGATTTACAGACATCATTGAGTTTACACTTGCCATTGTTCATCACCTCTGCAAATCACAACGATGCTTTGCAAACCTGGCAAGCAACTCAAACATAAAAGTATGAAGTGTATTTCAGATATAACTTTTCTGTTTGAGTGTCAACAGCTCATAGACAACAGAAAGCTATAGCATGTATCAAAATGCAATCTAATTTGAAGTTTTTATTCTTAGACTAACGAATTTAACTGGAAAGCTAATTCACTAAGGAAAGAAATATTAATTTTCTTTTAGTGAGGGAATATAATTTTTATTAGAGGGCTTGTGTCTTGTTGCTCTATTACTAGTCACAAAATACAACTAAAAACAATGGGCCTGACCTGTAGAGAGATCAAAGAATACAGGTGAAGTCTGTATGTGCTTAAAATACACGCTAGATGCCTTCCAACTGGGTGTTTCAGGAAGGATACAACTGTTTGTATGAAGGAAAGAAGGGATGTTACTCTGTGTCGCCATGGAAACCTATTTGAAAGACATCTTAACAGGCAGAAAAGTGTTTCCATTGTTGTATGCAAGGGAAAAGCTCTTGGTTACAGGAAAGAGACAAGAATGAAGCAGAGTCCTACAGGTTCAACTCTCATTCTCCAGGGAAGTGCATCAGTGATGCAGGTAGCTCCAAGGACAGCAGCTTTTGGGTGCAAAGAGCATCAGGAATTTACAGACCCAGGCAACAAGAAAGGGGACATCCCAGGGACACTTCTGTGCACAGCTTAGCTCTGTATGAACTGGAGACCTCCTCCCAGAACTCTATCAACACCCTCTTTTTTTAAAAAAAAAAAAAAAAAAGAGATATCAACACCCTCAAGATAAGAGCAAACAGTCAGGGAAAGAGAGTCTAGGGAGCGTTTGGAGAAAATCCAAGAGAAAGTTGGTTCCAGCCAGTTGAGAAAGTAATAGTAGAGATATCAATGTTTAGGGAGCATTACTTTAATTTATTTCTTTATACTCTACTTGTTTATAAGTTTATTGTATAACATTTATGTACAATAAATCACATATTTAAAGTGTATGATTGTATGTTTTGAATGATGTGGATCCTACAACACCACTCTCTCACTCAAGATTTCAAATACTTTTAGAACCTCCAAAGCATCTTGCCCCCTAAACATACTTCTTTCCTCCACTTCCTGCCCATTCATTCACTGGTAAGCTTTTATGAAAGTGTGTATAGTTCATACAATATGAACTCTTTTGTACCTGACTTCTCTCAGGAAACAAAAACTACTTGAAATTCATTCATGCTGTTTCCTGTGTATTTATTTTTATTGCTGAGTAATACATTGTGTGAATATATTGCATTCTGATGATATATTGATTCGTTAATAGGTATTTTGGGTCATTTCTGAAAATAAAACTTGCTATATATAAAAGTTTGTGTGGAAATATGGGTTGCATTGCCCTTTGACAAGTACCATAAGGCTTAATTGCTGAGTCATTGTCTTGTTCTCTTCTAAAATGTATAATCTTACTTCCCTTAAACAGTGTATGATAGTCACAGTTATCCTACATCTTTGTTAACATTTGGTAATTTCCAGTCTTTAATTTTGGCCATCTTAATGGGTGTGGAATATAATATAGTATGACATTATCTGGTTGTGTTATTTTCACTTCCTTGATCATCAGTGATGTTCAGTATCTCCTCAACTCCCTACTGACTTTCTGCAGATCTTCTTTGTAAACTATCTATCCAAATTCTGCATTCTTCTTTACTGGGTAGTTTGCCATTTTTACTAGTGAGTTTTACAAATTCTTTATGTATTGTGGCCTAATTTATGTGTTGTAAATATGTTCTTTCTGTTTACAACTTCTTGTTTATTTTCCTACCCTTATTGAAGAGCAAACATTTTAGTTTTCATACAGTCCAATTTATCTCTTTTTTTTTCATGCATTATGTTTCTGTTTCTACATGAGACAGTTGTTATAATTTCAAAATCAAAAAAATTACTTCCTATTCTTTTTTGGAAAGTTTTTGTACTTTTTAATTTTACATTTAGGTCTATAACCCATTTAGAGCATTTTTTGGACACATACAATGTGAGAAATAATATTCATGTTGTCATACAAGCTTGCAGTTGCTTCTATAGGATGCTTCCAGATGATTTGTAGTATAGTTGAGAAAACAGGAAAATACAAATGTTTTAAATTTTATGATATAAGGCAATTTTTCCAAACAGATGCTTTGCAATTACATTATCCCAATTTGTGACTTTCATCTAAATTTCCTTGACTATCTTTAAACTTTTAATTAGATGGAATTTATCATTTTCTTCCTGTAACTCACATTTTATGTGCTTTAAGAAGTTTTTGGGTAATAAGAAGCCTTAAAGATTTTCTTCTAGAAATTTAATAGTTTTAGCTCTTTTGTTTACAAATGTTATATTTAAAATTGATGTTTACGTGCGGCATGAAGTCAGGGTTGATATTAACTTCTTCTGATACATATATCCCATTGTCTCAGAACTCTATTTTGAAAATATTACTTTTCCAAATTTGTACGATCTTATCATTTTTGGGTCACATGTCCAAGACATGTCATTGTGTATATTCAAATATTCTAAAGTTTTAAAGTCCAAAACACTGCTTTTCCCAAGTAATTTGGATAAAGTACACTAAAACTATATTCGAATTGTGTGTGTGTGTGTGTGTAAGAGAGAGACAGACAGACAGACAGAGACAGACAAAAAGACAGAGATAGTGAGAGTTTGGATATGTTGTACTTTTAAAAGAAATTTATGCATTTCATATAGTTATCAAGTTTGTTACCATGCATTTTGGTTTCTTATTTTTTTAGTGTCTGAAGTATCTGTAGTATTAGCTCCTCTTTTACTCTCTGCAGTGGCAGTGTATGTATTCACTTTTTTCCCTTTACATCTCTAGCTAAGTATTTTAAAATTTTGTTGACCTATTCAAAGAACCACATGTCATCTTTGTTGACTGATTAATTTTCTACTTTCTATATTGTTAATGTCTCCTCTTATCTTTTCTATTTCATTCCTATACTTTTTTTGGTGTATGGTGGGTAGAATTCCAAAATACCTACCAAGATTCTTGCCCTCCTTGATATGTAATCTTGTAGCATATTTTTCTTAAGTGTGATCAAAAATCGTTATCGTAAACTATCATGATTAAGTTACTAATTTTTAATTTTGAGATAATAAAAAGCATTACACTAGCCATGATGCAGACCTTTTAGAATTTTCAATAATAAAAACAGTCTAGAAGACTGCCATAGGTTCTTCATGACTGTGGCTATCTAATCAGACAATCCCTCCAAATGAGATGAAGTATCAGAGAGATTTTCTTACTGGTCTGAAAGAAGAAAAACACTACTATATTGTGATGTCTGCGAAGAGGAGCCGAGAGTGATTCCCAGTGAAGTGGAAGGTGAAGAAAGCCTCTGTATTAAAAAGCAGCTTACTGACCCCTGGATTTCACACTTGTTCAACTTTAAATAAAAGATCCCGCTGAAGAGTTTCACACTCCAGCCCCCAGAAACAGTGAGATAATAAAGATATGCTGTTGTATGCCCCTAAATGTGTGTTAATTCATTATACAGCAGAATACATTGTATTTTCTTTGCTTCTCTTTTTCTTGCTTCTCTTTAAAATTTTTATCAGTACATGTTTGCAGTAAGTGTTTGCATTTCTTGTCTACAGTTGGTCGATGGACATAACTTTTATTGGTTGTTAAAGTATTACCTTGGAACATCCATTTTATGTCTTTCCTCTTTTCTACAATCAGCATTAAAAGCTGTAAGTTTTTCTCCTAACACTGGTTTGCCTGCATCTCACAAATCTAGTCCTCATCAATATGGCTACATTTAGGTCTTCCAGTTCATTGTTTTTCATTTTCCTCTGGTTTTCATATCTCTATTTTTCTAAGTTATTACAGATGATTTGTACATTTCTGAGTATTTAATGCAGTTCTGACTGATAAGATTTAGTATTTGTTCCTTTATTCTTTTTTTCTTTCTTTTTGATTATCCTGTTTTTTTTTTTTTTTTTTTTTTTTTTTGTACCGGGAATCAAACTCACAACCACATGCTTGCAAGGCTGGCAATTATGCTGCTGAGCTAAATCCCTTGTTTGGAGTTCACTGATCTTTTCATGCCATGGATTATGTATTTTTAGTGTTTTAATGTATCCATTTTATTTTCAACTATGATTCTTTGTATTATTTTTAGAAGTTTATTTAGCATTTATAAGTAATATTCTACCTATCTATAGAAAAATAGAAATTTTGATGCAATTTTGATACATCTCTTTACATCTTTGCCTTAGTCATGTATGGGATAGTTGTCACAGGCATTATATCTGTATACATTAGAAAATATAAGAAACTGTTATAATTTGTGCTTTAAATAGTCACACATATTTAAAATAACCTAACCCAAAATAATAATCTTTTATTATCATCCAATGTTTACTACTTACAATGTTCTTAAATATTTCTAATAATACATGCTGTCTCTCTTTCATTTCCCTTCAGCCTGAAGGATTTTTCAAAGAATTTCTTAGAGCATGTGTCTGTCTTTTTAACCCATTTTCTTTTTTAATTTTTGCATTCATTTTTGAAGGATATTTTTGTTAGATATTGAAAACTGGTGTGACAATTTATTTTCTTTTAACACAATGATACTGTTTCATTATCTTACTGTGCTATAGCTCTGAGAGCAGTTTCTGGTTACTTAAATCACTGCTCTGTAAATAACATGGCATTTTTCTCACTCTGCTTTTTAAGATCATGTCTTTATCGCTGATTTTCAGTAGGCTGATTATTATGCTTGTGGGATAGCTGTCTTTAAATTTATCTTGTTTGGCGTTCACTTATCTTTTCAAATCTGTAAATGTACGTTTTTCACCAAATTTCAGTTGTAATATCTTCAAATAACATTATATATCAATTTGTTTCTCTTACCAACTGCTACAGTTTCAAATATACTCATGCTACATATTTGATTTATCTTGTATATTCCCTAAATTTCTGTTCATTTTTAAAAACTTCCAATCAACCTTTCAGATTCAATAATTTTATTTATATAATTTAAATGTCACTGGGTTTTCCCTCTATGTTATCTATTCCATTGTGAAGTTCAACAAATAATCTTTTTCCCCATGTAATATATGTATTTCTAAATTTTATATTTGGTTCTCTTTTATATTTATAATTTTTCTGCCTTTTATTTATGTTATGTGTGTTTAGCTTTACTGAATATAAAGTGGTTGTTTAAAAATTATTATCAAGTACTTTCAGCATGAAATGGATTTCAAGTTTGTATCAGTTGACTGTCTTTATCCTAGAAAACCGATCATACACTGCATCATTTGTTATATCTTAGACATTAAAAACATTATGTTATATAGATTTTATGTTGTTACATTTATTGGGAGAATGTTGGTATTTTAGCAGGCATTTAACCCAATTGGACACAAAGTGTAAGTTCTGTTTTTCTTTTAGAGAAATTTCAAAGCCCTCCTGCCCTTTAGCCAATGTCTAGGAGAAGCATCTTAGTACATGAATTTGAATTAAGAACTACTGGATTACTTTGGCATGCTGCAATACCACAAAGATAAGACTTGAGGAATGCATCTCAAATCTTAACTCTTTTAACTTTCTTTCTCTTCTCTGAGACCAGCCTGTACTTTCATGGTCAGGAGTCAGTCTGTATTTGTAAATTTTTCACACAGGAAACTAAAGAATCACCTTCTTTGCTTCTCTTTTCTCTGAAATTCTCCCCATACTTCTGGGTATTTGCATTTAATCAGGCATCTTTTCTTGGTTGCTCTCACCAGAAAAACAGTGGATCACTTATCAAAGTTTTAACCATCTACAATACACTTATTTACCATTGGTCCTCAAAGGAAATAATAAAAATGTATGACTCACCCTTGTGTTAATTACTTTTCCAAATTTTAACTTCCTCGCACAGTCTGCCTGCTTTTTCACTCTTGAGAATCTTCAAGTAGCTGTTTTCCGTATTTTAATCAATAATTGTTACCATCTGGAGGACTTGCCTGTGGGGAGTTCACAGTATCACTCCAGAAGTAAAATTCCAGGTTGAGTATAGAATGGTACATTTATGTTGACTGGTTAGTCATGACCATTCAGACTGCATGCAGAGGTATACCAGGTGTGATGGAAAAATACAATGAATGTTTACAGTATTAAAAATTTATGACATTAAAAGGCATATTGCCATTAATTTCCCTCAAACTAGTCTCTCTTGATTAAAATGTATAATAGCTATTGTGAAATAGGGATAAATTGTTCAAAAGGAAAAGATAACCAGGGAGGGGGAAGGAGAAAGGAAGGAAGGGAAGAGAAAAAATGATAAGAGAAAGATAAAATGGAAACAAAGCTTGGTAAATAA